GGCCCCGCGCATCGCGCATGTAGGTTTCGCTGACCCTCCTCTGACCCGGGTCCTCTAGTGACGCGTCTGCATTTCACGCTGAGGCTGTCTAGCTTACGTCCACGACTCTCGCGCGGACAAGCTCACCTCCCGCACTGTCCCTTGTATCTTCCTTGGTTTCCCCCTTGACGCTTATGACCGGCACTTTTACCACCCTCCATCTCACCGTTTCCTCCAGTCGCGTGACGTCACATTTGAGGAGTCTGTTTCATTCTACACCCGTTTCTCCTACCAAGGTCTCCACGTTACCCCACCTCTGTTCCTTGTCACCACTCCCCCGGTAGCTTCCACTCCCCTCCCTTTGCTTTTGCCTCGTCTGATGTGTTTGACGTCACTCCCTTTCCCTCGGTTGGTCCGGCGGACGAATTTGCTGACTATGGAGGTTCTAGGGCAGTGGGTGCACCGTTTGCTTCTGCGGTGCCTGCACCCCCGGCCTCGGTGCCACCGCCGCCACAGCAGCAGCAGCAGCAGCAAGGGCTGGTGGGCTCTAGGGGTGTTGGCGCTGGGGGCGCTGGTGCTTAGGGGGCTTCTAGTTCTGGGGGTGCTGGTCTTGGGGGTTCTGGTCCTGACGGTGCTGTCTTGGTGAGTACCGGCGGTAGCCGCGGTGGGGCTGGAGGTCTTGGTGTGGGCACGGAGCTACAGCATCAGCAGCAGCCAGTGTCTGCCCTTTGCCTCCTCGGTCTTCCCTCCTCCTCCTCTGACCGACAGCGCGCGTCTCCCCCAGCGCAGCCTCCTCCTCCTATCAACAGCCCCGTGTTCCCTCCGCCCGACTCATCTCGGGCTCACTTCCCCCCTCGTTCTCCTCCATTGTCTCCTCCTTTGTCTCCTGACCCGACGCCTCCCTCCCACTTCTAGTCTCACCGTCCCTCTCGTACACGCCCCGCCTCTCTCGATCCGAGTGTCCACCCTATGTTTCTCTGTTCTCATGTGTCTCATGTTCCTCCTATTCTCTCGTCGCCTCCTTAGTCATCCCTTGCTATCTCCTCTCCTCCTCTCTCTCACCTTCTCTGTGCTGCTAGCGCTCTTCTCCCTCATGTCCTAGCCTCTCTCGTTACCCACCCTTCTGTTCATGTCTTCAATATCTCGGGTCTTGTTGCTGCCGTTACTGACTTTTCCTCTACCTGTCGCCAATACGCCACTGCTCTGGTCTTCGACCCTGCCCGTCCTTTGTCCGCCGGGGGTGCACCTGCCCTTGGCAGTGACGTCCTAGAGGATACGCAGTACAAACTAGCTTTCCTTGCGGAGGCTGCTCCTCATCTCTGCTCCATTCTGCTGGGTTTTGAGGGTGATCCAGACGCCCTTGACATCCCGACCTCTCGCACCTACACTAAGGCGACTAAGGGACCCTGGGTCTCTCAGAAAATAGCTTCCCTGGACGCAGAGATGGCATCTTGGAGATCCACCGGCAAGTACGTCGACGCATTTTCCTTACCTGAGGGGAACGTAGTCGATGACCTGTAGCTCTTCAAGGTGAAGCATCTGCCTGGGAAGCCGCCGGTGTTGAAGGCGCGACACATTGCTAGAGGCTTCAGTAAGTGCAAGGTGATGGACTTCTTCCAAACCTTCGTCCCTACCCCAAAGATGACCACTCTTCGGGCACTGCTTCACGTAGCAGCACATCGCGGCTACGAGCTCCACTCACTTGACTTCTCCACGGCGTTCCTCCAGGGTTGCCTACACAGGCAGATCTAACTGCGCCGTACGCCTGGCTTCACTGGCTCTTTCCCTCCTGGGACCCAGTGGCTCCTCCGGCGTCCGATTTACGGCATGCGGCAGGCGCCTCATGAGTGGCAGGACGCGCTGCATTCTACGTTAGCTGACCTGCAGTTTTTCCTGTCATCTGTAGACTCTTCGCTCTTTGTTCGTTCAGGCCGGTCCCCGTTCTACATCCTTGTCTACGTAGACGACCTGGTCTTTGCTACTGCAGACAGAGACGCACTGGCCTCAGTGAAGGCCAAGCTACTGAGGAGACACACCTGCATTGACCTAAGAGAGTTGCGCCGTTATCTCGGACTGCAGATTTCCTGGTACAGAGCAGTGTGCATCATCACTCTCTCATAGTCACACTTGGTGCGTCAGGTCCTTCAGAAGTTTGGCCTTCAGTTCTCCTCTGCACAACCCACCCCTTTGCCTGTGGATCACAAGCTCTCGGCTCCAGTCCTTGACGAGCCAGTCGAGCCTAGTGGTTAGTACGCACAGCTTCTGGGCTGCCTCATATACAGTGACGGAATTAATTGGGTTTGAAAAGTCACACAAGTCTAAAGATTGTGTATTTTAATTACGTTTAGTGTGCATTCATCCCCAAGTACCCATTGTATCATATGACTAAGGAGTGAAGCATCCTTATGCTGTAGGGTATTGAATGCTTTATCAAACTGCTTATAGTGAGTCCACCACTTTGCTAGCGACACTCGATGCGGACAATTAGCTCTCGATTCGTGTCTAGATCTATTTTCTCTCGGCATTTCGCGATCTCGCAAACCTAGCCGCCTAGTCTTTACCGACGGCATAGCGTGAACCCCGCCAGGCTCCTAGCAACGATGCGGCCTCTTTCTTCACGCCAGAAAGATAGGATCGCGACCTTGCTTCGACACGGTCATAGTTTCCATCAGATCGCTAGAATGCTAGGGATAGGGAGGAGCACAGTTCAGAAATACGCTCAAGAGGCCTCTTTGCGCACCAGCAGCCTAGCGGTTAGGCCGACAGTCCCGAGGTCTGGCCGACCGCGCCTGCTCTCAGTACGTGATAGGCGCATCCTCGTTCGAGCTGTGACTTCTGGCGAGGTGAAGACTGGCGTGGAAGCCGCTAAGCTACTGGAAACAGACCATGGCATTAAGATCTGCCCCAGAGCAGTCCGTAACGCCCTCAAACTGTCCGGCCTAGTCGCCGTCCAACAATCGAAGAAGCCACGTCTCTCCACGCGTAACATCAGAGACAGACTAGATTTCGCCAAGGCCCACCTTGACTGGACCTTGGACAACTGAAAACGGGTGGTATGGTCTGATGAGACGGCCGTTGATGGGTGACGGCCAGACCACCCGTTTCTGTAGTGACGGCCGGACGTATGCATGGATTCGCGACGGGGCGGCTCTTCAAGGGCATCACATCAAGCAAACTGTTAAGCATGGGGGTGGGTCAGTCATGATATGGGGGTGTATGACGTACGATGGCCCTCGATACATGTGTAAAATCGACGGCCGTATGGACGGGCAGTTGTATCGAAGCATCTTGCTGGATGAGCTTGCCCAAACCATTGAGTTCTATGACCTTATCACCTCTGATGTCATTTTCCAGCATGACAACAACCCCAAGCACAAGTCCCGCCTTGTGCAGGAGTGGTTGTCAGAGCAGGAATATTCAGTCCTGCTGTGGCCCTCTTCATCCCATGATCTCAACCCCATCGAGCACTTGTGGGCCCATCTCAAACGCGAGCTGTCCAAGTATGAGCTCCCCCCCTCAGGGATGCTCCAGACTTGGGAGCGGATCCAAGAGACCTGGGAGGGGATAGATGCTGATGTGTGCAGGGGGCTCATTGATAGTATGCATAGGAGGGTGAAGGCGGTGGTTAGGGCTAAGGGAAAATGGACTAGGTACTGATTTCAAGGTGTCTCTTGCATACTTTGAACATGGCACAAACTGTCTGAGTGTACTTGTGTGTATGGATTTTGCCCAGGCACACTATATTGAATGATCAGGGCTGATTATCAAGAGACATTCTTGTATAGGCATACGTCTAGCTCTGCATTCAAACCTGGCATTGAATAAGCTGCATCTCTAAACACTACACACGATTATTCGCCTAGAGAGGCTGAGATGTGGACAATTTCTTCCGTCACTGTACCTGATGACTTGCACTCGCCCAGATCTCGCATACCCTCTTAGTATCCTCCCTTGCTTTGTTGCAACAGGCAGACACTGACCCCGGCACTGGTCTGCTGCTAAGAGGGTGATGCGATATCTAGCAAGTACATTAGATATGGGGCTAGTGCTAGGAGGACGCATGCTAGTGGTTCTCATAGGGAATACAAATGCTTCGTGGGTGGACGAAACTGAGACTCACAGGTCCTCTCAGGGCTACTGCTTTAGCCTTGGTGCAGGCGCTATCTTGTGGAGGTCCACCCGCTCGTCGTCTATTGCCCAGCCCAGCTGTGAGGCTGAGATCTATGCTAGTGCCATGGCGGCACAGGAGCTCCGCTTGCTGATGTTCTTGCTCGACTGACTTAGGTGAGCAGCCTCGATTTGCCCTGGTCCTGTACGCTGACAACAGGGCCATGATCGTCCTGTGTCAGGAGGCTTGACTAGAATGCAGGGCGAAGCACATCCAACTGCGGTACTTCCTCCTGCGCGAACTATAGCAGAGCGGCCAGGCACGGATAGTACACTTGGCCTCCGGTGCCAAGACAGCTGATATTTTTACTAAGGTGCTTGCGCCTAAAGAACATCAGCAAAATTGCTTACAACTTGGTCTGGTTCCAGTAGCTTCTCACTTGCTAGGACACTGACTTGTGTACTCATTATATTACCTTGCCTACCTACACTTGCTAACTGGCCTTCTGCGTCTTGTCTCAGAGGCTGGACTAGTAGTGCTGTCCTGAGTTACTCTTGTTGAGTTACAGCACAGAAGTTGTCTTCGGACCCCTGCCTCAGAGGTTGGACTAGTAGTGCCTCCCTTAGCTGCATGTCTCTTGCTAGGCACTGCCCTTTATCTAGCCTAGGGGTCGTGACAGCATATACATATGTGTTATATGTAGCAGTTATAGGCTAGATGGGCAAGTGCTCTTAGAGAGTACAATACCAAACTATATACCGTATCTCCCCTGTATCCCATGCTTGAGTTCACTTCACTATTCTAACACCACAGCCATTTACGAACCACAGCAACAACACATATTGCACTTGGTTTTAAAGGGAAACCGAATTTCAAACGCCCAAGTTGTTCAGCACCAACCGCGCTGGGGCTCGAGAAAAAAAAAAGTATCGCGTCGGTGCCGGGTTACACACTAGAATCCGTCTCCCTTCAGCGACCATCTGCGACCTGCACAAGGCAGCCCGCGTGCCCCCCAATCCTCATACGTATCCAAGTTTCCCAGAATGCGGCGACGGAGAAAGCTTCAACAGGCGCTCGACTGATTCAGCCTAGCCTAGGCGTCTCTAACACCCCAGAATCCGCCAGTTCTTAGATCTGCCCTACCGTTGCGCACTACGGGCGCAACAGTGTCGCAATCGCATCTACCATCGTCACCATCATCAGTTGCGTGTCAGATGCTGCGCTTCCAGGCTCACAGCCGTCCTATCAGCGAAAATTCATTCGACGAGTCTCTGGGAATCTCGCCACCAAAAACTGCGGAGAGCGCCGCCGATTCCGCAATCCTTGGCGTGAAAGACGCGGCGATGGGTGCAAGACACCAGGTTTGCCGCCACGATTCTCGGCACCGAAGCAGGAGCGATGAGCTGAGCATAACTGCGACGGGGGTGGGAGGCAGGGATGACAAGGCAGCAGCGGAGGAAATGGAGGTATTAGTAGCATGGGAGTTTGGGGGGCGAGTGTGGATACTAGGAGGGGGTGGGTGGAGGTGGAGTATGACCCGTAAAGTTCGGGGAAGAGAGTCGTTGCGGGTGCTTTAGGGGTGATTACTCTGGAACCATTAGGGGTAAAAAAGGGGGGGGGGAGGAGGGGGATGAAAGATATGATTGGTGGGGGGATGACAATTGGGGTAAGGGGGCGGAGTGGAAAGGGGGGGGCATGGCAGAGGGAGGGGGTAAGGGGACTTAGGGGAAGGGGGAGGGAAACGCAGATTGGGGGCTTGGTGAAGGGCAGGTTAGAGAAAGCGGGGATGAAGGGTAGAGGGGTTGGTAAGGCATGAGGAACGTGCCATCAATGGGCACAGGGCAGGGGAGAGGGAAGGCACCAGGGAAGACGAAAGGGAAGGGGAAAAGGTAGGTGAAGAAGAGTGAGAGCAGCATGTGAGTGAGTGAGGGCAGCATATGAGTGAGTGAGAGAAGCATATATTTCCTCCCTTTCATGAAAAGCTGCAATCTTTCATGCCTGCTGTGCATTCTCTTTCCAGGTCTTCCACCATATCTCGCACTAAGCTCCAACCCATCGCTTGTTTCTGATCTCAGACTTTTACTCAGCCTAACGAACCTCACATTCCACAACTTCCAATTTTGAATTGACTCTGGTCCCATCCCCTTCCTATCAACTTATACATATGTCTTATATGTCATCGCAAAAAAGGTGTGCTCGCAAAACGATTGCGTAGCATTCGAGCGAATGCTTTGCAAACGTTTTGCGAACATGTGGGTGAAAATTCATGGCGGACTAAGATCAGAACACTTGGCGAATGCTTGGGCAACATTTCCCGAAACACTTTTTGGTTCACGACAGCGAATGCTTAGAGGTGTCTTTTCGGTAATCTCTGTGGTTCGTTTACAAATGCATGGCGGTGTTCTTTCTACAACTTTTGCAGTAAACATGTAAATGCATAGAGAAGTTTATGCTCACCATTTTTAGTATTCAGCATGATTTGTTGCAAACGTTTGGTGGTATTTTTCATGGATCCGTTTTTGCAGGCTGCAGTACCCTTTTGGGCATGGTTCAGTACAATTAGGGCATGCCTCGTTTGGATTTACTTATAATGCAACAAGCAAATTATTTGATATATTAAAAAAAACATCTACACCACAGTACACAACCACTATGGCCCAACCGCCCTTGCCTACCAGCACCCCTATGTGGGTCCCGCACTAACACAAAGAGAAACTGAGCGGCGGCACACCAGGAGCAGCAATTCTTGAAACTGGATTGGAATTCCTGCACGTTACGTTCAGAACTTGTTATCTCGAAATTAATCCAAGGTCGAAATCACCAACAATAAGGACAATGCTTACAACAACGAAGTAGCGCGACGCTGGATATTGAGTCCTGCACATTAGGTTCAAACATTGTAATCAAATTAGTTATATTCCATACGATAGCAATTACAAGAGCCAGCTTACCGGAGGAAATAGCTCGTGGTAGGCTACAAATTTCTGCACGTCATACGAGACATTGTTGTGAAATTAGTCCGACGATCAAATAACCAGCGAGACTTACAATTGGACTTACATGGGGAATTATCTCGATGTTGGACAGAGTTACATAGCTAGCTGCGATAAAGACAAGCATCGTGAGGACACATGCGAATCATTAGTTTGATTGATACGTCAAGTAACAAATGCCTTCATACCCCCATGGCGTGCTGTGTGTGCCCGTATCGTGCGTGCATGGCGCCCTCCACCAGCAGCCCCGCCTGGAATCGCCCCGCCCACCACTCCGACGCCGGGCGACTACCCACCGCTGTCACGCCCGCACTGCTTGGAGAGAGGAGGGGGTGGCAGGGGGCGGAAGCGGGAGGGTGGAGTGACGGTGTGCGCAAGAGTCGGGGAAGAGCGCACAAGACATGGAAGAACAGAATGGAGGCTGCACTCCTTGTGGCGGCTGCACTCCTCGTGGTGGCTGCACTCCTCGTGGCCGCCTCACCATGAGGGCCACGCGTGCACAGCACACTCACACGATCACACGTATCAACGTGCGAACGCCACACTCTCCCCCACACTTCCTTTCCCTGTCATGCAGCAGGCCCTTCCCACTGCCCCCCACACTCGCACGTGCCTGCGAATGCCCTCTCATGGGCCTCTCTACTCCAGCAACCCATCCGTGGCACCTGTATGACCCCCCCCTCTCCGCCTGGCCATGACTGTTCACCTGTAGTCGAAGTAACGGTGCAGGGAGGCGAGGGAGGAGGAGAGATGGCGCGAGGAGAGAGACTCGTGGTGCTGCCACAGATGCACCTGATGCCATGCACCCACGCCATGCACCCATGTGATGCCATGCACCCATGTGATGCCATGCACCCATGTGATGCCATGCACCCATGTGATGCCATGCACCCATGTGCCATGCGCCCATGCCATGCCATGCAGCCATGTGATTCCATGCAGCCATGTGAAAGAAAGAGGTGAGTAAAGGCAAGGAGAGTGGTAGGTCGCATGGAGAGGCGTGGCGTGCAAGAGCCAAAAGGGGGTGGCATGGGCACGCAACAGGCAGAACAGAGGGCACACGGATGGGCTGCCAGGGATGGCTTCACACCGCCATGCATATAGCAAGGCACATGTATGCACCTTGGGTGGCAGGTCGTGCGCATACGCCATGGCACTCACGTCGTCTGGCAGCGCACCACCCATGGCGCCAGCATGCCCCCCTTCACTGCTCCTCGGGCCTGCTGCTGCTGCGCCCAACCTGCAGCGCACACACGATGGACGGATGGATGGGGCATGCGCGTGAGAAGGGGAGTGCACGAGAGCGGATGCTCTCCATTCCGCTCTGCCCCCTCCACCTTCCCACACACACTACTAGCCATGCCTCTCTGCACGAGTCGCGCCGCACCACTGCTGCGCCAAGCACACACGTGGCAAGCACACACATGGCAAGCACAGCTCCAGGGGCGAGGGGGAGAAAGAGCAGCTGGGACGAGCGAAAAGGGAGAGAGGGCACGAAAGGGGGATCGAGACGGGCATAGACGGAACGAGTACAGGAGAGAGGAAAAGGACAGTGGCGAGAAGCGAAACAAGGGAAGAGATGTTTCACCACCGTGCTCGCATCTGCTGGCGTCCGCGCACCTGGTGGCTGCCTCCATGCGCGCATCTAGGTACTCCGCCAGGCGCCCCGCCTCCCGAAGATACCGCTTCTGCGTGCCGCCTCCTCCCCCTCGCCCCTCCTTACTCTCCTGCCCCCCCAATGGCGCATTAGCTCATGAACATGCAGATAAGAATGACATGGGTGAACAAGACTAGTCACCTACGAGCTGCTTGAAATGATAGACCATCGTGAAACGAGATCCTCAGCATAGGGCACACTAAGAACGACCATGGTAATCGAAGCCTGTGGGAGAGGAAGGAGCTGCTCACTAGGGGGCGCGAAGGCGAGAATGGGAGCTGAAACTGATGCAGATAGAACTGCCGAGGGCTATTATTGTAAGTAACGTCTAGCTGGAAGGCATGAGAGGGCGCAAGGGGACAAGTAAGGAAGGGATCAGAAGTGTGTGGTGGGCTGGAGTGCTGGCATGTGGGGTGCAGCGTGGTGGGCTGGGTGGTTGGGGCGAGCAGGTGGTTGAGCTGGATTAGCCGCTCTGGAACCACTTGGCAGATTTTGATTGGTTGGACGAGGTGCAGGGGCTGAGTTGGATGAATAAATTTTGTTGGGTTCGGTTGCAGGTTTGGTAGGGGGCAAAGGGTGTGTGATTGGTCAGCACGTCATTTTGTGAATAGGGGCGTGTTTCTACAGACCCGAATATCAAGCAAATAGGACCTGAAATTTTGGATCCCAGAATCCGCGCGCTCTATAGCACGCTGTAATTTGCGATTCAATTCGGTTCAGTTTGGTATTCACAAATTTCATAAAGCCGTGTTTTGCACCGATTCCGTTGGACTACGCCCTTCTTGGTGGTTGGATGGAGGTGTTGTAGCCAACACTTGTTACTATATATGCTAAGACGTTTTCGATATATCTCAGTGTGTGTCTTGGATTTGTTTAGTAGATTAAATCGCTTTCCATGGGAACTTGACTTTCTGAATGTATCTAGACTAATATGACTTTATGCTAAAGATAAAAAGCTACTCTTGTTGCCAAAATTGGTGCCAAGTTCATGTACTCTTACAGAACGACCGACAAGCCGTTCATAACCTGAAAAGGTCACATATATATGTGGCAGGAAGAATGTAACAAACTTGAGGGAGAGAAATTGTGACCTCAAAATTCAAGTTGGCTTTACAACCCTGGACCAACTCAGTTACAAGGTGTCGTTCACATATGTAGGGTTACATAATTTCCATTTTCTGCAGCCGTTGTAGATGATGCTAGAGAAGAGACATGGTTAGCATTTGCCAATAACGGCTGAATGTCTGAATGCGTGGCCGCACGGAGATCACCCACAGAATGTGGTTTGTTGAGAGATGCACAGGGGAGTGAGTGGATAGGTTTGGGGTGAAGTCTGGCTTTTAACGGAGAGGTTGTCCAAGGTGAGCTTGACTGGCAATCATGTGCCACCCGGTAGGCTGCGAGAGAGCGGGGAGGAGGGGAGGGGGGGAGGGGGGGGGGGGGGGGGGGGAGAAAGAGATGGGGGCATACGTTAGTGGGGGGCGGGGGGTTGAGAGGGGTTAGTTATAGAGTGTTTACTGCCTGTCCTGCCGGGATCCCGCTCACACTTACTGCCCTCTCCCCCTCCCCTGCTTCATGCCACTCCCCCTCCTCTGTCCTCATGCCTCTCCCCCTCCCCTGCCCTCATGCATCTCCCTCTCCCCTGCCCTCATGCGTATCTGCCTCCCCTCTCCTCATGCCTCTTTCCCTCCCCATCTCCTCCAGCTGTCCCTGCCTCTCACGCCCTCACGCCTCTCCCACTCCTCTGCTCTCACTCCTACCCCCCTACCCTCACTGCAATCCATCTTTCCCCACTCTCCTGCACTCACGCCACTCCCCCTCCCCTACCCTAACACCCTCTCCCCCTCCCATGCCCCTCACGCCTCTTCCTCCCCCGCCCTCACGCCTCTTCCCCTCCCCATCTCCTCCGGGCTGCACTCTCCCTTTCCCCACTCCCCTACTCGTACCCCTCTTTCCCTTCCCTTCTCTCACCTCTCGCTCCCTCCATGGCTCTTGCGCCTTCCCACATCCCCCCCTATCACGCACCTCATACCTCCATGCTCTCCCATCTCTCCCCCTCCCCTACTCTTACGCCTCTCCCCCTCCCCTGCACTCACGCCTGCTCTCATACCTCACTCTCTCCCTGCTCTCATGCCTCACTCCCTCCCTGCTCTCGTGCCTCACTCCCTCCTTGCTCTCATGCCTCACTCCCTCCCTGCTCTCACGCCTTCCCCCCTCCACTGCTCTCGTGCCCCTCTCCCTCCCCTCTCGCCTCTCCCGCTCGCTACTATCTGTTGTCTTCCCCATCCCTGCGGCCTCGCTTTCTTCCCTGCTGCTGCGCCTTGAACCTTTATCTGTTTTCATTCAATGAGAAGGCAGGGGATTGCGGTGCGCGAAAAAGCGGGTAACATGTTACAACGTGGGAAAGTGGGAAGCGACCCGCAAGGGAAAGCGGGAAGCGGTCCGCGAGGTGAAGCGGGAAGCGCTAGTCGCTACCGGGGGAAAGCGGGATGTGAAAAGGGGGGAATGGCAGAAACAGGAAGCGGGGGAAAGCGGCATGCCGGAAGCTAGGGGAAGCGGGTGGCGGGAAACAGGGGAGAGAGGCAGCAGCGGATTAGCGAGGGCAAGCGGGGTGCGGGTCGCAAGGGAATGTGGGAAGCATGGGAATGCGCGAAGCAAGTGAATGCGGGGAGCACGGGGAGCATGGGAATGCGGGGAGCATGGAATGAGGGGAGCATGGGAAAGCGGGGGCATGGGACAGCGGTGAGCATGGGAATGCGGGGAACAAGGGAAAGCGGGATGCGGGGAGCAAGGAATGCGGGGAGCATGAGAATGCGGGGAGCATGGGAATGCGGGGAGCATGGGCAAGCGGGGTGCAGGGAGCAAGGGAATGCGGGGAGGATGGGAAAGCGTGGTGCGGGGAGCAAGGGAATGCGGGGAACATGGGAATGGGGGATGTGGGGAGCAAAGAAATGCGGGGAGCAAGGGGATGCGGAGAGCAAGGGGATGCGGAGAGCATGGGAAAGCGGGGAGCAAGGGAATGCGGAGAGCATGGGAAAGCGGGATGCGGGGAGCAAGGGAATGCGGGGAACATGGGTATGCGGGGAGGATGGGAAAGCAGGGTGCGGGGAGCAAGGAATGCGGGGAACATGGGAATGCGGGGAGCATGGGAAAGCGGGGTGCGGGGAGCAAGGGAATGCGGGTAACACGGGAATGCGGGGAGCATGGGAATGCGGGATGCGAGGAGCAAGGAAATGCGGGGAGCATGGGAATGCGGGATGTGGGGAGCAAGGAAATGCGGGGAGCAAGGGAATGCATAGAGCATGGGAAAGCGGGATGCGGGGAGCAAGCAAGGGAATGCGGGGAACATGGGAATGTGGGGAGGATGGGAAAGCGGGGTGCGGGGAGCAAGGGAATGCGGAGAGCATGGGAAAGCGGGATGCGGGGAGCAAGGGAATGCGGGGAACACGGGAATGCGGGGAGCATGGGAATGCGGGATGCGAGGAGCAAGGAAATGCGGGGAGCATGGGAATGCGGGATGTGGGGAGCAAGGAAATGCGGGGAGCAAGGGAATGCAGAGAGCATGGGAAAGCGGGATGCGGGGAGCAAGCAAGGGAATGCGGGGAACACGGGAATGCGGGGAGGATGGGAAAGCGGGGTGCGGGGAGCAAGGGAATGCGGGGAACACGGGAATGCGGGGAGCATGGGAATGCGGAGAGCATGGGAAAGCGGGATGCGGGGAGCAAGGGAATGCGGGGAACATGGGAATTCGGGGAGGATGGAAAAGCGGGGTGCGGGGAGCAAGGGAATGCGGGGAACACGGGAATGCGGGGAGCATGGGAATGCGGGATGCGGGGAGCAAGGAAATGAGGGAAGCATGGGAATGCGGGATGTGGGGAGCAAGGAAATGCAGGGAGCAAGGGAATGCAGAGAGCATGGGAAAGCGGGATGCGGGGAGCAAGGGAATGCGGGGAACACGGGAATGCGGGGAGCATGGGAATGCGGGATGCGGGGAGCAAGGAAATGAGGGAAGCATGGGAATGCGGGATGTGGGGAGCAAGGAAATGCAGGGAGCAAGGGAATGCAGAGAGCATGGGAAAGCGGGATGCGGGGAGCAAGGGAATGCGGGGAACATGGGAATGCGGGGAGGATGGGAAAGCGGGGTGCGGGGAGCAAGGAATGTGGGGAACATGGGAATGCGGGGAGCATGGGAAAGCGGGGTGCGGGGAGCAAGGGAATGCGGGGAACATGGGAATGCGGGATGCGAGGAGCAAGGAAATGCGGGGAGCATGGGAATGCGGGATGTGGGGAGCAAGGAAATGCGGGGAGCAAGGGAATGCAGCGAGCATGGGAAAGCGGGATGCGGGGAGCAAGCAAGGGAATGCGGGGAACATGGGAATGCGGGGAGGATGGGAAAGCAGGATGCGGGGAGCAAGGGAATGCAAGGAACATGGGAATGCGGGGAGCATGGGAAAGCGGGATGCGGGGAGCAAGGGAATGCGGGGAGCATGGGAAAGCAAGATGCGGGGAGCAAGGGAATGCGGGGAACATGGGAATGCGGGGAACATGGGAATGCCGGGAAAATGGGAATGAGGGAAGCATGGGAATGCGAGGAGCATTGGAATGCGGGGAGCAAGGTAATGCGAGGAGCATGGGAAAGCGGGATTCGGGGAGCAAGCGATAGCGGGACGCGGGTGAAAGCGGGTGGAAGGAAGCGAGGGACAGCGAGATGCTGCAGCACGTGAAGGTGAGATGCGGACGTGCTTTCGAAAGCGGGAAGCGGGGATTTGGGAAGCAAGGAAGCGCGAGGACAGGGATAGCACGATGTGGGAAGCCGCGGGTGGCATTTTCGTACGAGGAGATCGAAGGCGGCGGGAAGCTATAGCGGCCCGCAACGGTGGGCCGTTAGCAGCGGGGGATTCGTCATTTGTTTCCTGCCCTTGTTTTCAGGCGCTGGTGATTTCGTCCACGCTAGGCTACGCGCGCCAAGAACCTCAATTGATATCCGCGTTCACTAGCCTGACGTCGGTGTCGCCTCGATCCCATCTTATAAGTCGCTACCAACTCTCTAGCATGGCTACGCATGAGCATGGATCTAGGAGGAAACGAGGGCAAGTCGAGAAAATTACAGATCCCGAATTCGAGATCTGCTACCATCTTTCCCTTAGTCGTTTTTGCTGTCGAGGGAGCAGGCTGTGGGTTGGGTTTGCGATTGTTGTTGTTTGGCTTCGACCAATCGCATGGCCCCTTTTGATGTCCGAGGGGGTTGTTCAATTTCCTCACGGTGCATAGGGTTAGGACGTGGTATCTGGGTTTCGCAACCCATTGGAGCTGCGTAACCCAGCCTGGTTACAGGTCTCGCCGAACCTCGAATAGCGTGTGAGATATGGGTTGAGTTGGTTGGGGTTGGATTCAGTTAGTTTTTTTGGCAAATTGCACACATATTTTATATATTATTATATTTCAGTTACTTATGCACAATTTTAAAACTTTGTAGAAGTTTAAGTGTACAAAAACCAATCATTTATGCAAATATAAGCCACGGGAACATGTTTATTATTCAGGTGTAACATTCACAAAACAACTCATTCGCATAACATCCCATCCGCAGAAGACTCGCGAATCATTTACGCGCAAAGAAACGAGAAAAAAACATTTGGCGAACACTTGGCGGACGATTTCCGACTTTATGCTCGAGCTCGAATGGTGAAAACGATCTGTGAACGTTGCACTTTTTGCGATGGTAGCAGTTATAGGCTAGATGGGTTTGTGCTTTTAGAGAGTACAACACCCAACCATATAGCTCCCTTGTATCACTTGTTTGAGTTCACTTCGTCATGCTGACATGGTATCATGCTAGGTAGGCCCCACCCACCCGCGCTTCCGCCCTAGCCTACCGTAGTGCACCCCGCCCCTTAGAGCGCCCCGACCGTGGCGTGCGCCTCCCCTACTGCCGCGCCGTGCAGGCTCCTAGCCCGCCGTGCTGGCCCCTAGCCCGCTGCGCTGGCCCCTTCGCTCGCCGCGCTGGCCCCTAGCCCATCGCGCTAGCCCTTCAGCTCGCTGCGCTGGCTCCTAGCTCGCCGCGCTGGCCCCTCAGCTCGCCGCGCTGGCCCCTAGCCTGCCGCGCTGGCCCCTCAGCTCGCCACGCTGGCCCCTAGCCCGCCGTGCTGGCCTCAGATCGTCACGCAAGCCCCTGCACGCCGCGTAGGCCCCAGCCCACCGCACCCGCCCCAGCTCGCCGCGCCGGCCCAGCTCGCCACGTCGGCCCCTGCTCGCCGCGCCGCCCCAGCTCGCCGCGCTGGCCCCATCTTGCCGCGCTGGCTCCAGCTCGAGCCGGGCCCTGCTAGCCGCGCCGGCCCCTGCACGCCGCTGGCCCTCGTTTCTCCTCTACGCCGGCGCCCTCGCCGGCCGTCTGCTCTCCCGAGTTTTCACCACACTCCACCGCTCTCCACCGTTGTCCACCGCACTCCACCGCTCCCCACCTCAACCGCTTGCTCTCTGCTCCTCCTCCTCCTGCGTTCTGCAACCGCTGCAGCTGTGTATGTTGGTAGATGCCATTCTCCGCCTGGATGCAGAGGGTCATGTGGTGGACTTCGAGGAGTGGCTCGCCGACCTGCGCCGCCAGCTGAAGGGTCAGCACTAGGATGGCCAGTCTCTAGCAGTCCATGTTGATGGTAAGCTGCCCTGCCCCCCGCCTGCTGCCCTCGCTGATGCCACCACACCTGCTGAGCGTAAGGCTTTCACAGCTCGCTCGCTCTGTATGGGATTTGCATGAGCCACTGCGCTACAAGCTATCAGTCACGCCCTCCTGCTCTCCAAGCGTCCCCGCTTTCTGGCCCTAGAGATTGCCAAGGAGTACCTAGATGCAGTCATTGCTCACTATTCCACTCCCTTCTCCACCTCTGCTAACCGCCTCTTCCTACCCCTGCTCTTCACTGATCTCGCGTCCTTCCCCACTGTCGCTGATCTCGTCACTCACCTGCACGCTCTTGAGACTAGCTCCCGCGCTGCTAGCACTGAGGCTCAGCTCACTGTACTTCCTCGGCGCTACCCTTTATTTCCTAGCCACGCGCCTCTCCGACCAATTTGCCACTGCCCGCGACACCTTCCTTAGCCTCCACCCCACTGACCTCACCCTTAGCGACTTTGTCGCCACCCTATCAGCGATAGAGACGCGCTAGCGCACTCTCGCTCAATCTAGCGGTACTGCAATAGTCCCTATCTTCCATGGCTGTGCTCCCTCCCAATGCACCTACTCTGTCATTTCCATTGCTGTCATTGAGACAGTTCCTGTCGCTGAGACTACTCCGACGGCCTCAGCGCAACCTCGTCAGGGTAGAGGTCGTCGCCCCAGAGGGGGGCGTGGGGGGTGGGGGGGGGGAAGGGTGCTGGGAGAGGCGGAGGTGTCGGGGGCGGTGGAGGTGATGGTGGGAGCATAGGGGGTGCAGACAAGGGGGTGGGGGCTGAAGCCCAAGAGCCGCAGCAGTAGCAGCCGTAGCAGCAGCAGTAACCGAGGTAGCAGCAACAGCCGTGGGGACCCCCGCTGCCGTGGTGGCCCAGCGGCTTCGGTGGTGGTGGCCCTCGCAGCTCGACGTTGGGTGGCGGCTCCAATTGCCAGTACCAGATCCAGTTTGGTCCCCTTCGTGGCCCCGTGTGTGACCGCCCCGGTCACACCGCCGCCCACTACTACCGCCGCCTTGATGACCTCTTCCGTCTCCGTTTCAGACCCACGTTGTGTCTGTTACGTGTAGCAGCGTGTAGTCACATTGTGCTGCTACGTGTAGCAGCGCCCGAAGAGTAGTCATCTTCGGGGTCGAGGCAAAGGTATGGAAGAAGTCCACACCCCCACGCTGACTGAAGCCTCTAGCCACGTAGCACGCCTTGAACACATGCGGCTCTCTCGGAGGGCACTTCACCTTGAAGAGCTACCGGCCATCCACTACGCTCACCCCGAGTGGGGAGACTGCGCCGATCTCCCCAGGTGGGGGGACTGCGTCGATCACCCCAGGTGGATCTCCAAGCTGCCATCTCCGCGTCCATGGCAGCTATCCACTGAGATGCCCACAGTCCTGAGGTCGCCTCTGCGTAAGTGCGAGGGGTCGGGATGTCAAAGGCGTCTGGGTCCCCCTCAGGGACCAGCAGCATGGAGCAGAGACGAGGCGCGGCCTCGGAAAGGATAGCAAGCTCGTACTACCAGTCCTCCAGGACGTTACTGCCAAAGGCAGGAGCACCGCCGACGGACGAAGGACGGGCAGGGTCAGAGACCAGAGCGGTGGCATAGTCAAGGCATCGGGTAAAGGCAAAATCAGCGACGGCAGCGACAAGTGCGTGAAGACCCGATGGGTCGGTAACTAGGGAGGCAAGGACCCGAGGAACAAGAGGACGAGCGGCGTGAAGGAAGTTTGAATAAGGTGGCGGAGTGACAACATGCGACGATGGAGGAGGCGACGGGAGGAGGGGAGGACGAGACGTGTGGGAACGAAGCAACATAGGGTGAGAGTGCTGAACATGAGAGACAGGATGAGCCCAGGAGGGACGGCAAGACCAGACGTGAGACGGAGGCGTCGGGTCAGAAGACAGAGGAGGAAACACAAGAGGGGAACGAGAGGGAAAACGAGCCAGAGACGAGTCCGGCGGAGGAAACACAGGGCCATAGACAGGAAGGGGAGGAGACGGCGGTGGAGGCGTACGCGAGCGGGCAGGGGAGGGAAGACTGAGGAGGCGAAGGGCGGACACCAGCTGCGACTGCTGCTGTTGCGCCACACCGACACCAAAACCTCCAGCTGTACCACAGCTACCTCCGGAATGCTCCACTTTAGCACCGCCGGAACAATGACCCTCTCCAGCACTGGTGCCACCCCCAGGACAACCGGGACGATCCACGACAGGAACCCCAGGACTAGCGCCCCCAGAAACCAGCACCACCAGAACGAGAACCCTCTTCAGCACCGGTGCCACCCCCGAGACCGACGGGACAAGCCACGACAGTAACCCTAGGACTAGCACCCTCCTCAACGCTAGCAACCCCAGAATGCGCGGACCCATGCGGTGGTTGCGGCTGCGGCGGCGGCGGCTGCTGCTGTTGCTGCGGCGGCGACGGCGGCGGCGACGGCGGCAACTGCTGTGGCTGCGGCAGCGGAGGAGGAGACTCCGGGTCAAGGACTGGCAGCGAAACCCAAGCCGCGGGGCCCCCAGAGTCAGCCGAATCCTCCAACGGGACTTGCGACGAGAGGGGAGTGACGTGAGACACACCAGACGGGGTAGGAAAGGGAGGGACAGGAGCAAGGGCTACCAAGGGGGTGGGAATCAGGAATAGGGGCGGGGAAACCCGGAGACCTCGGTGGGGAAAGCGGTGGTAGAAGGAGACAGACTCGTCGAAAGTGTCGTTACGCGAGTGAAAGAAGCGGTGAGACGGCGGGTGGTAAAAGTGCAGTCAGACGAGACAAGGGGGAACAAGGGAAGACACAGGGGACGGTGTGGGCAGTGAGCTTGTCCGTGCCAGAGGCATGAACGTGAGCAAGGTAGCCCCAGACGTGGAATGCGGACACGTTACCGGGTAACCCGGTCCAGAGAAGGGTCGGCGAAACCTGCAGCTGCTGGGAGTGTGGCCACAGGTTAAGCTGGTGAGCAGCGTAGCGAACATCGAACGACCACAGAAAATGGGGTGCACCGACATGGATCATGGAGGTACGAGCCACCTCCATGACCAGATCGATGCGTCGCTCAGCTCATTTTGCTGTGGGGAGTCCAATAGGGTGTACGACCGGGTGATGCCTCCGCACGACTGAACTGTCCAAGCTGACCGGAGGCAAACTCGCCGCCACAGTCAGAGTGGAGACACAGCACGGGGAGACCGTGGTGGACAAGTGCAGCAATTATACCCACGAGATAAGAACGTCAGGCACATCGGCCTTCCGCTCCAGGAAAAACACCGTGGTGTAGCGCGTGTAGTCGTTGACAAGCACTAAAATGTAGTGCTCTCGACGTAGCCCATGGACGGGGGCTGGGCCCCAGACATCCAAGTGCAGGGTCTGGAGTGGCGTGGTGGCAAGGCGAAGCGAGGAATGAGGAGCACGGCGCAACCGGCCTTTGGAGCAGGGCGTACATGGTGGCGCAGGCAAGGGAGGGAGGGCAGGGAGCGATGCAGGGAGACCTAGGACTAGACCGTGATGGAACATGTGACGCAGACGCGGGAGTGCCGGGGACCTAGGCGGTGGTGCCACAGAAGCGACGGGTGAGTGAGCGACCGACCCGAGCAAGCCGTAGTGACGAGGGTAGACACAGGCACCAGGGGGGACGCCCTCAGCAGGGGGGACTCGGTGTCAGGCATAAACAGGCCAAACACCTGGTCCCAGAGGAACGTAGTGAGGGGGGCACCTGGGGTGGCCTCGGTACAGGCCGCGTACCGCTCTTCGCTAGGGAACGTAGTGGTGACGCCGAGGTCTTGAAGATAGCTGACACCAACTAGGTTCCTGGAGAACGAGGGGTTGTGC